TAGTTAAATGATTTTGCTTACACTATCAGACATTCTAGGTACTTTCCACTGTGCTGAAACAAGAAAAAAATCTTCCTGTGGGAATGGACAGCTAGTCAAAAATGTGCATTTTCTAGGGACAAAGCTAACTCATAAATCAATGCAATATTATTAATTGAAGACCATGAAAAAGCAGACTTTAAGTTTGTTTTAACTGTGAATATTAGTTGAACTGATAAATTGCCCAGCTTCTAAGTAAAAATCCTGTTTGATGTGAATTGTTATTGATGACAGTTGGTCACACTTGCCACTATCTTCTAATGACTCTTTACTGGGCAAGACACGTATTTCAGACTCAGAATTACAACAGTTTTAATAGAATGTTCTGGTTTAGTTATGATTTATGTGTAGTGCTAGCAGTCTTGGATGTGCTGAACAAATCTTGCAAAGTAAAAGTTTGTGTTTGCATAGGTGATGTTTATTCTGTAGAAGAGCAGTTTGTCTGGAGACTGGTTTGAACAGTTATGGCTGTTAGTCCTTGATACTGCCATTTAAAATATTCTCTTCTCTTTCATTTCCTTTGAGGAGCTGACACACAAGGCATTTAACCTGTCAGTCTCTTAAAATTTATATCAGGATAACTGAATCATACAATGCAGAGGGAGAGAAACTTAGTACTGGTAAAAACAAATGTTTGTTCAGGATTAATTTTTTTCTGGTTATGCTAAATACTCTGCTTATGGCCAAGTTACAAGCTTAGTAAGCAGTTCAAGTGCCAAAATGAGCTGTCGTCTTTTGATTTCTAGTAATAGGATGCATCAGGAAGTAGAGCTCTGATAATAAATCTCTTATACCTAGTGACAGATGCATATGTCTTTATGTTGTGCGAATACAGTTTTTTGGGGGCGGGGAAATCTCATCTATTCATGTGAATAAGAAACTGACTGCTAAGCTCTGTCAAGAAATTCATAGGAAAAATTAAAAGGCATGGGAATTTAAAAATTGATATCTTTATAGTGCTTTTACTTCAGTCAGTGTATTAAGAGTTCCACATGGATGGATTGCAGATCTCAGCAACACATTGATGTTGTGGTCAGACACTGATTTTAAAGGAAAATCTGAGTTGCCCAGACCCAAGTTCTGTATTCCAGAATGTGGTAACACAAGTTGCCACCCCTTGCTGTCAAGCTATCTGTGAGGGATGTAAACATGGAGGAACTTGCTTTTCCCACAATTGTTCTATGGCATGTAAATATAGTATTTAGCCTCTAAACTTGTATGTAGGTAAGAAAGAACCAGTCAAGCTCTGCTAACAGGCAGCTAGAGAAGGTGGGAATGGAGGAGCTTTTCACAGTGTGATGTTTGTGAACAGGTTTTTCTTTCTAAAACCACTGTCCCAGGAAAAGGTTCTGGTTTGTGTTGCTTCTCTCTCCACTCCACCCTGATGATTCTGAAAATTAGCAAGTAATGAAGATGGCCATTTCTGAGGGGAAAAAATCTAGGAGAGTACAGCATGTTTAGGGAAACAAAGCAAAGAGTGCAAGAAAAGAAAAACCATCTTCAAAAATACATCAGAGAAAAAGAACAACTAAAGCAGTACTTTCAAACCTGCAGTTTGTATTTCAT